CCGAGAAAAGAGGATGCCTTGGGGGGGAGCAGGAGGGAGGGCTTGTCATTGGATCTGGGGCTGGCGGCGGCAGAATTGAGCTGGAGGGGCTGGGCCAAATTGGTGGCGGAGGTGAAGGACATGGCTGCTCCCTGTTTCCACTGCCTCCGTCTGTTTGGCAAGTGAGAAAATTTGAGAGAGAGAGAGAGAGAGAGAGAGAGGGAGGCGGAGAGAGAAAGGATGGGGGGAGATGGAATGGGGGATTGAGGGAGAGAAAGTATCAGAGGTGAAGAAGGGACGGAGGAAACAAAGGAAGGAGGCTTGGAAATAACCGCCGGATATAAAGAAGTGGGGAAGCCAACCAACAACTTAACCAACTATTACTACTTCTAGTCGGTGTTCTTCAATTTACTTGTTTTGGTTTTGGTTTGGTTTAGCGACACTCAATTTTAATATAGTGGAAAAACGTCTCGTGTGTGTTTATTTATTATCATATAAATAATAAGGGAGGAGAAATCAAATCTACATTCTCTGATGCAGAGATAAATGTTCTTAATCACTTAAGATATAAGTTGGAAGGTTTCCAATTCAATTTACAGGATATGAATGATGTGTATTTGAAATGATTTCGATACTAGATTGTGCTCTACTCATAAGTGTGATGACAACTTATCAAATGTACATAGAGTTTCTTTGTGTATGTTAAAGGGAAGATTGGGGATTAATCATTTTCTCTATAGAGACTCCCTCTTGAGCAATGCTTGACTCCTCAAGAAGACCCCCAAGCAATGCTTGAGCATTTTTGAGTTTTGTCGGGCAATGCACGTAGTATGATTAAAATTATGTAAAATAAAAAGGATAAAATATTAACACATCTACATTTTCTTAAGTATATATTTGTATAACATGAAGATCGATGATAATTACTCATTCAAGAAACTTATTCAGTCTAAGGGGGCTCAAAATGAAAAACGTTTCCTTTCTATTTAATTCCTTTTTAATTTTCTCCAAATAAAAAGTCATTCACATTATCTTAATATAATGAACATTTATAAATCAACCTATTCGTGCGTATCAAAAGAGGTCAATGTTTATTATTCCAAGAACTTAAAAGACCAACTATTATGCATGCATTACATGCTAGGTGGAATGCCAATTTGTGTGATATATTATTAAAGATAGAATACAATTTTCTTTTGACTACTTTTTTATTTTACTAAATTTTAATATTTAATATTTATTACTTTGTATATATATATTTTTAAAATAAAATATTATCAATCTGGTTATATTCAAATTACATATTAAAATAACTCTTTCTTTTAAAGCCTCACCTAAAGGTATCCTAGCATCCTCTAATCTCAAACATAAAAAATAAAAGGTCAAATCGGATAAATGATCCTTGTGGTCATAAGGTATTCGGAAGATAGGCCTTGCACTAAAAAAAACTCAGATTTAAACCCATGTGATGTACTCCGTTAGCAAATTTAGTCCAAAAGTGATTTTTCCGTTAACTATATGTTAATACATAGGTAAAATTGTACTTTGACGTGTGCACCTTCTTCTTCCTGCATCTCCCCTACGCAACCCTCAAACTGTTGGAAGTATGCCCACAAAGCCACTCATTTGATGTAATAGCTTTTGGAATACTTAATGTATTAAACTATTAAATGTTTAATGAAGGGCAAAGCTTATTGTTAATCACTATTTATTGTATCATGTGTTTAAGCAATAAGGGAATCCAAGGAATGTATTTGATCTAAGAGAGAAGTGATTTAAGTAAGTTAGATTAACGAGACATTTCTCTTATGTTCATTCCTAAAACGTTCCTAGCCATAGGATTGCCAATTGGGCATTGACAATCCGCTAAGGTTAGTATGTGTTATGTCAACTCAAGCGCGAGTATGACTAGTCTCAAGTCATTTAGTGTTTGACACTAAGACAAACACATAGGTGCTCGAAAGAGTAATCGAGTACACTGAACAACGATCAAAATAGAGTTCGAACATACATGTCATGTAAGAACTCGTAAGTTGCAATATGCAAAGTAGTCCTTTGACCTGAGGCATCATAGATGTCTAATGGTTAGGTCCTTGATCTTTGATCATGTCAAAGACATTCCATTGAGAGTGTCCACGGCATTGTTAGCTATCTAGTCATGTAGGCATATGAATGCACAACAAGGGATCTCTAACCTTCCATGGTGGAAGGAGAATACTCTAAGATATGATTCGAGAGTCTTTGGCCAAAGCATATGAATATGACTTAGGAAATTTGTTCCAAATCATATTCAATTGAATCATATAGAGAAGTATCACATTGGATAGTAGACATGAAACAAACTATCATTCAAACAATGTGATTAAGAGTATTGTATTAGAGAATGGCCGTATTGCGTTGTAGTTGTAACTGGATAGGTTCTCCAACAAATTTTACTTAGCTTGGGTAACCATGACATGCTGCTAGGTGTCACTCATGGTTTGTGGAAGCCCTGAAGATTAACAAACACTAATCTTAATCAAAGGGAGAATTGAAATGTAGTTTCAATTCATAATCGATCGTTAAGAGTAACAATCGCCCACTGCCTCGCTAATTGGAACCTAATGGATCGTACACCGAGTAAGGATGAAAGTGAAGAAATATAAATGAAATGGATATGCAATTAAATGGTTTAATTGAAAAATGGTCAAGATTAATTAATTAGTTAATTAATTTAACGAAAGGTTCGTATTGGGCTTTTAAGTTGGTTTTGGGTTTCGGGGCCCAAAAGTGTTTTGGTCCACAAGGCCCATTATGTTCAAGTTGTATGACAACTAAAACAAAATGGGCAATAAGCCCAATCATTTAAGTAAGGCCGGCCATAAGGGTGATGATTGCAAACTTGGATTAATTACAAGTTTGCCACTCACTTGAAATGAAGTATAAAATCAACTTTATAGCTTTATTTCTCATTTAGGGTTTTCTTTGAGGTAAAGAGGTGAAACATTTTATCTCTTTCTCTACAAGGAGGCCGGCCACATAGGGAAGAAAGAGCTAGCAATCTTTTTCTTCTCTAAGTCATCCATTTCATCTTCACACCTCATCCTTGGTGTGGAGACTTAGAGACACCAAACCTTTGGTGTTTTGGAGATCATTTCCTCACATCCTCAAGGAGCAAAGGAGCATCAAAAGGAAGGAAATCACCCAAGGAAGATCCAAGGAGCTAGGAGGTGACTTGAAGGCCCTACACTTGGGTGAATCCCTTGTGTAAACAAGGATGAGCTTCAAGGGTAATGAATCTCTAAAATCTTACCTTCTCTTTAATGTTGTTAAAGAGTCTTATGGTTCACCATTCACTAGGCTTTGAAAGTCATGGGTTTTAGAATTGTTTTTGAATGCATGCCTATTTTAATGTGTTAATAGTTTGCATATGTGTTCAAATATTCTTATATGTTCTTAGCTAGGACAAATTTTTTCCTTCACAAACTCACTTTGTGAAAGAGAAAAAGGAGAGACCATTTTCAGTTTTCCACAGAGCTACCACCGCAACCATGGCGGCCACCGTGTCTCTCCCTTTTATTGCGTGAAGTGCGGAGGAGGAGGAGGAGGAGGAGGTCTCGCCGAAGTTCTCTCTTGCTCGGGAACCATGGGTACCACTCAAACCCCTCCCCCCCTCTCTTTCTCTCTCTCTCTCTCTCTCTCTCTCTCTCTCTCTCTCTCTCTCTATCTATGTGTATGTGTGTCATTGGTTTTGTATATGTGATAATATGCAGGTATCTCACGTGACTCGATGCACAAGCACCGTGCTATTGGAGGCAAGAAGAAGGCATGGAGGAAGAAAAGAAAGTAATGCTTTCTACCTTCAACCCCATCTATCTCTCTCTGCTTTACTCTTTGATTACTTGTTAATTTTCCTTCATTTTCTATTAGTTCCCCTTTGTAATATTTTTTAATTGATTTGTTATGTTGCAATTAGGCGACATATCTGTTATTAATCGTAAATTATTTTTGGGTTTTTCATTGTGAATAAAAGGTGAGGTCTCATCGTATCTTCTTTTTCTTGAACATGGTCTCTCCTTTTTCTCTTGCGCGAAGTGAGTTTAGGGGTTGCGTAGGGGAGATGCAAGAAGAAGAAGGTGCACATGTCAAAGTACAATTTTACCAATATTAACATATAGTTAATAGAAAGATCAGTTTTAGATTAAATTTGCTAACGGAGTACACCACAAGGGTTTAAATCCGAGTTTTTTTTACCACATTGGTTATCTTCCGAATACCTTATGACCACATGGATCATTTATCCAATTTGGCCAAAATAAAAAGGAAAACTTCTCTATCCAATTTGATGTTCCTTTTTTCTCCCTTTCTCCTTCCCATTTTAAAACAAAAATAAAAATATTTCCACAATCAAAGTGTGTAACATATGCTAGTATATTTTATACAAAACAATTAGTTGTTAGGAAGAAGAGAAGCGATAAAAATTGAAGGTGCACCAAGGCAAATAAGCACAATCACTTTCAGTCACTGCTGTAATACGTCATATGAATCAAACTCATTGTATAAGTGAATAAGAATATCACTATACAAGCAATTATTTAATTATTTTCTTTAATAAGACTACATTATTTTGTGTTGTCAAATTGTTTCCGAGTTTATTAGTTGAATTGAAACCAAAACAATTAAAAAAGAATATAGTATGTCGTCATCCAAATCTTATGACCATGTGGACAAGGATGACTTCCAACGTGTCATTGGAAGAGATCTACAAAAGCAAAATCCATTTTCTAATTTCAAATATTCATATTTATAGTTATATTTACACTGCAAACAAACAACAATGGGTCCATAGCTCAGTGGTAGAGCATTTGACTGCAGATCAAGAGGTCACCGGTTCGAACCCGGTTGGGCCCTTTTCCCTCTTTTTTTTTCACGTCAATATAAAGCTGGGCCCTTAAAATCCGCTCCAAGCCCATACCCGGATTCGGAGCACCCGCAAAGCCATATGTGGGTCCTCTTCTTCTCGTTGCAACTGCGAAAGCATTCGCTCCAGTTCCGATTTCAGCCACCCTGTCACTCTCTCACTAAACCAGGCGAGGTTTGCTTCTCTCCCCCTCTCTCTCTGATTCGTTGATTCTTCGTCCTTAGCCGATTGAGCTCTTTATCTTTCTCTCAATTTTGTTTGATTTATGATGAAAATCGTGGGTTAGCTTTAATTTTGTCTGAATTCTGCCTTGAATGGTTTTCATTTTTAGGGTTTATCAAGAAAATTTTCCCCAATTTAGAATTTAATTTGATCGTGGCATCCTTTAATCTTTCCAGTGTTTTTGAGTTGGGTTAATTTTAGATTGGCAGGTTAATCGATGCATTCAATTCTACATTGTTATCAGGGAGTTTTGGTTTCAAGTTTATATTTTTGCTCTAATTTGCTGCTTTTCCAAGCGTCATTGTTAATTTTTGTCCAGAATTTGATATTAGCAACCCAAATTCATTGGAGAAATATCCGGAAAGATTATTGTTCCAAGCACTTGAATTGGCCTGCATTTTTCAAGTATTTGAACTCTTGGATTTTGCTGCTTATCAGCAAATCAACATTGGTGCTCCTCCACGCCTAAGCTGCTAGCTCACTATTCTTGTTTTCGAATCTGTTGGTGAGAGTCAGTTTTCAAGTATTTGAACTCTTGGATTTTGCTGCTTATGCAGAGCTGAAAACAAGGGAAAGGGAAGCCCCGTAGCATTAGCAAATCAACATTGGGAGAGTCGGTTTTCTTTTGATTAGTTCTAGCTCTGCTACGAGCCTTACCCGTTTAGCTTATGTGGTATTGCTGTTTTTTGTCGTCAAATATTTAATTTCTTCAATTTCTTGTTGGTAGGATATTTGAAGAAACAAGTGAATCACAAAATGCTGCAACCCCAAATTGTTCAATCCCCAGCTAGGCTAGCCCTAGCAAACCCCACTTCGCCCTCTCTTCCGAACCCTACGCCTCCAAAAGTCCCTTCACTGCCGCAACCCAATCTCTCCCCAACCCTTGTCTCCCTCCTCCCGCCGCTCCCTAGAGCCCAATCCCTTCTCGTCCAAATGGCCTCCCTTGCCTCTAAACTCTTCCAAGTCTCTCCCAATCGGTCACTCTGGCTCAACGCATTTCGGGGGTCCTTCCCGACTTTTCTTCCCAAACTCAGTCACTTCCCCCAACTGCGCTTGAATCTTCTCCTTCCTCCACCAAAGAGATGCTCTCCCAATTCACTGCCCTGCAAACCCAACTCTTTGAGGCTGAACTCCAAGAAATTCTTCATCTTCAGGATGCTAAGCTGAAAATTGCATGCGAAGTGAAGTCCAAGGATGCTGCACTTCTGTCCTTTTACAAGAAACTCAGGGATGTTGAGCAGGTCCTTGATAATCTTGTTGATGATTACTCTGATTTTACCCGCCCCAAACGGACAAAACAGGAGGATGGTGCAGATGATGATTCTTTGTGCACCACTACGGTTTCATCTCAATTGAATTTGTCAAATATACTGTCGTATGCCCACCGGATAAGCTACACAACCTTTGCACCTCCAGAATTTGGGGCTGGACAAGCTCCTCTTCGTGGGGTACTCCCACCTGCCCCACAGGACGAGCAAATGCGCGCTTCTCAGCTGTATGCTTTTGCAAATCTTGATGTGGGCTTACTAAAACAGTCGAGGGGAAGGAGGAAACGATGCAGGCAATGTTGGAGCCCACGCCTCCTGAACCAACAAATCAACTTCCCAACCTGGGTGCACTCCAAGGTCTGCTTCCTCCCAACATCACAGTCCCATCAGGTTGGAAGCCGGGGATGCCTGTGGAATTGCCAACCGAATTTCCTGTGCCCCCGCCCGGATGGAAGCCTGGGGACCCTGTGCCTCTTCCCGTTCCTAGGGTCGAGGACCAACAATTACGGCCTAATGCTCATCCAGCAGTACATAAACCACCAGCAACGATACAGGTCCAGCATGTTGAGCTGGATATTCTGGATCCAGACGACGATAGTGATTATAGCACTGAAGATGGAAGCTCTGACGACGATGAGTAACAGCGAGCTACTACTGCGACGCTGGAGTTTTACGGGAATCCTTTACTGTCGCATGAAGCCGCTTGGATAGCAAATTTGTTTCAAGTTGCTAATTTTTGGTGTTTAAGCTTTAAAACTCAAATAGCAAACTTGTTAGTCGCGTGAAGCAGATTGCAACATGAATAATTACTTAGAGCACAAGTGATGTACTTTGTCGGAGCATGTTTACTTACAGAGAACACGAATCGGAATATACAAAATGTTAGCAACCTTTATAAAAAAAAATGTGCAAAATTTATAGCACTTTACAAATTAAGTAATTACAAGTTTACGACAGTTTCAAATACAGACACAAAATTGACACGGAAAGAATAACACAAGAAAAAAAAAGGTCGGGTCGGGGGTAAAAAAACTCTACTTTACAACATCTGCAGAATTTCCAACTCTAGTATTGTTGTTAGTTGTGTACATGACAATAACGTCATCGCTTGCTGGTCTTCTCCTTGCCTGCAAAGTGTATCGACGCGTTACAAGTTAGAATTGGACACATTCACAAATTTAACAACTCTTACATAAGGCTAACGACGTACGTACCATTACCAAATATGTTTGATTTTAAGGGTAACCGGAGAGACGACCCCCTTACTTTTAGGTCCCTGAGTTGCTTGGTTTTACTTTGTTGCCCTACTCTCGAAAGATCAGTGCTGCTTTCCGCCGGTGAAAGAACAGTTCCTTTCTGAACCTTCTCATGATATACAGCCGGAGGTGCGAGCCTTAGTTGAGGCATGTTTTCAATCTCGACTAATCCTCGGTCTCTTTGCAAATTGGTCAAGATATCAAACTGTAGCATCCCGGTTCAGTTTTTCATTAGTTTGCAATGTAAGAACGGTGATCATAACAACAATGATAAAACAATCACTACAAGGACAATAATAATAAGATATTGCCATACCCGTGATATTTGCTGAAGCCCGTACGTATTCTCTGATGCACTGCTTTCGTGTGGGTGGGAAGTTGTTCCGTGTGTTTGTTGGGTTCTTGACAAAAACTCCTTCACCAAACTCTTCTCTGGAAGGACCGATTTGCTTCTAGACCTCTGAGACTTCTTCTTAGGCATACAAACAGGGCATCCAGAGGATGAGCTACTACTTGATGCGCCATTCTCTAAAGCTTCACATTGAAGATGCGTTGCATGACCGCAATTGAAAATGCGAATGTAGCTAGAAGAGTTCTTGTCAAGAAGACAATCACATAAACAACATATTTGACTCCGAGGGGCATACCCATGGGAGGCCCCTTTCTTGAGTATGCTCATAGTGTAGAATGTATCATCTTCTATCAGGGACTTGGCAGTATCCTACATACCAGAGTAAACAATTTCAACGCAATTGCAGAGAACAAAGAGGAAGAAGTATATTGGACGTTTTAACAACACGATTCCCTTAAACAAGTTAAATGAGAATACATCATGCAACATGACTAGCATAAAAGAGATAAAGAGATGGTATACCAGAATTCTTCTTTCGAAGCCATATGTGCTAAGCATCCCCAAAATTGTGAATTTAAAATCACCAAATTCTTGGTTGCCATTATCAGAGAGGAGTTTGGACATGATAGTCGGAAGGCGAACATATCCTATCATGCCCAACAATCTCCTTGATGAACCGAGAGAACAGTTTTCTTAAGATATGAAAGCCTTTATGGAGCTTTGAGATTCTCCACTTGATTATAAAAGCCATCTCATCCTCTTCTGAGTCCAACGACTTGGCCACCGTCGTTTTAACATCTTCTCCTTTAGATACCGTTCCAGCATCAAATGAATCTGTTAAAGGCTCACAAAACCTGTATTGAAATTTGGAGGATGATTAGTCTTCAGCAAATCCATGAACTTGTACTTTTAGAATACAACAAAATTTCTTCACAAATAATGAAGAGCATGGCAGCTCATTTAAGGGACAATGGAACAAGAATCACTCTAGTATTATTATTATTATTTTTCTTTTAAAACTAGTGTATGTCTTTGACCCAACTAATCACTATACCCCGTCTGACCCCACAACATTGGGGAGCGAGAAACTCTAGCATTTGCTAGGTGAGTAGCATGGGAGAGAGTTGAACCCCAGACCACTTGGGAGCAAACCAAGGACCTGACCGCTAGACCAACAAGGAATCCTGGGAAGACAAAAGGCTGAAACCTAGGACTGTAATAGCCAGATACTCGTGCTCGTGGAAAACTCGGTAAGAAAAAATTGGCTTTGGACTTACGAGTCAAGTAATCTAAACCAGAGCGCCTCTGATTCATCAGGATTTAAGCGATGGGTGTTCCTTTGGCACAGCCCAATACAGGCATGCAAAATGCTGTTAATGTCGTTCACCTGTAAGAGATAAATTACAAATAATAAATAACAGTCCAGTGAATCTGTAGTAACATACAAACAAAAATCTACTCAAATGCTATGGGTAAAATAAATATGATATGTACGGACCTCTTCCAATTTTAAAGCATTGCTGAAATGCTCAGTACGAGCAGAATTACTTGATGCCAGACTTGCCACAGCAGTATCAAGCTTCATAAATTTGTCACTGAGGGTGGAAAGTGTTAGTAAAAGAGCACTGCCGACATCACCAACCCTTTCCAACAAGAAAGAAGCAGCATCTGTTATCCCATATTTCTGGCACAGGCGCAAACAGTGTTCCACGCGATAGCTATCGAATGTCTCTAAGAATTTGAGAACTGAATTGCGCTCGTACTGACATAACAGCTGAAAAGTGAAAATGAAACATTAAGAGGGCAACAACTAAGACAAGCTTTATGGTACAGAAACCAGGTGGCAAAGAAACACAATCACTCAACTCTTTCAAGCCCCGTATTTAAAATTTGGTCAAAATGAATATACTGACCTAATAAGAACATTATCATAGAAGGAAGAAATTCAACTGAACACCTAATTATTAAAAATGCTCACCTCCAGATAAAGTTCAATCATATCATCAGTCACATTAACAGGATTACTACGCAAAAGCTTTGGGAAATCGGAGATCCTTTCCAGATACGCCTCAACTGCTTTCGATTGATCCTTAACCCTCACAAGATCATCTTTTCTTAAACTTGAGAAGTCGAGCGTGCCGGATAAGTGGACCTCAATCACTGTTTTTAAGTAAAGGAACAGACTTTTTGGATGGGAACGAAGTTTAGAGAGGATATGAGAACCTTCTTCAATAGTAAAATGATCGATAACCAAGAAGAATGTGCCCTCTCTGCATTGGATAAATTGAGGTGAATAATCAATAAGGAAGCTTTCACTGGAGAAGACAATCTACAAATGACTTAACATGTGACAAAGAAAAGATTCAAGATAACTAAGAGATAACCTGTTTAAGTAAAAAAGCTCTGGAATTCGAGAAATAATTTCTGATCGAAAAGCAGCGCATTCCTTGTCAGTCAGCTGTAATAATGTTTTGTTGATAAAGGAGAAGGCATGAATGGGTTCTTCTACATCTTTCATGTAGCAATCCAGAGCAGCAAGATACTGATGTCTGCTAGTATGAATTAGGCCACAAACCTAAATGTAGCCAAGAGACCTTGTAGTGAGCAATCTTAAACTGAATGAATTATGAGACAACATCGTATGGTATTGGTAAATATACCTGGTAAAATTGCGCTTTCTCGCATAGCTGTAACACATAAGATGAATCCCAATCGGTCTCAGGCACTACCTCAAGAAGTCCCAGAACCTGCTTTTCTCTTCTTTTTGAAGTTATGCTATCTCTGGAAACACATGGTGGAAAGTTATTATCTGAGGTCAAATACTCCAAAATCTGAGACAATACACTTTTCGAGACAGTGGCTCTTCCACATGCAACATAGTATGCAATAAACTCAAATAGATGATCTATGTCTTTCTTTGAAGGCCACACTACTACTGATCCAGTGTCATCATTGCTAGGAGATCCATCTGTTTGAGAACTGTCCTTACTAATAATGCGAATAAGAGTATCTACTGTGTTCTGAACCATTGAATTTTTATTTTGAGCCATTAAATTGTTCCCATCCTGCATATCTGAATCATGAGAAGAAAGGTCAGATTTTGAGATTTCATCTTCCACGAAAGCACATCTCAGAACGTCCAAAGTAGCTTCAGTATCTAGCTCTAACAGAAGATACAGGTTAATATATTCTCCTCCTGGCATTACACTTGAGACTGATCTTGAATTAGGGGCATCAGAACCCTCCAACAAAAATTGCAGAAGTTCTGTTCTCAGAGATGGCAAGCGTGAGGGGGGAATTGTTCCCTGTCCTGCAACCACAGATAATAAGTGCAAACTTTGTTGATCAGATTAGTTCATGTGAAATGCAGCAATAAATGAAGCTATACAAGTGAGTCAAACATGTATTCAAGTACAAAATAATGCTAGTTTTCCTTTGATTGCTTCATACTTATTCGGTAAGATTACTCTCTCTTTTTCGATGAATTACTTATTATTTCAAGATTACAAATCCATTTCTAGTTACAGATACGATTATCACACAGAGGGATATACTCCTGTGATATTCCAATTGAACAACTCCAATAAGTGTAAGTCCGTACCTGGTGGAAAAGCAAGGCCTGAAAAGCAGTACTTTAAATAAACCAGCATCCTGTAACTGTAAACAAGAAAAAAAAAAACAATAAGACCACTTGAAAGGCTCAAACAAAAACTAACAACATACAACCATAAAGTAACATGAAAAAAATGCTATACAACTGATTATATGCTTTCAGTAAGATAATAATAATAAAGGGTAAAGACAGCACAAAATGAAAGGAGAAGCAACTAAAGGAGCACGATAAACTACATATTGACCATTTAAACTCAACTAGAACACACAAAGGACTCATTATCAAGATAAACATACCCAAGGGCAGTAGCACCTTCTCTTTGACTATTTCGCAAGACCACCAACAGCTCCTCTAAGGGTGACCTGAAATCATCCAATCCTTTATTGAAGAGATACACCAGAGCACTATACAGCCCGTGCTCCCTGCATAACCTAACAACCTACAATACATAACAAATTATCTGCATGTCCAGGTGAAAAATATGACAGACAAATACAGCAACATGAAAAATTATAAGCAACAATCTGAGAGGCACAGACCTGATTGAAATCCAAGGACGAAATATCCATGTGAAGGACACATTGTTCAACGCGCTGTAACCACCCTGTGCGGCTGTAGTGCTCTACCAGTGCTTGCATAATCTTAGGAAAAGGGCAAATGAAATAACATTATTATGTATAACATACCTGCCAATACAGCCAAAATACTTGAACAGTATGCATTACCTCAGGTGGAAGAGAACCAAGCATGTCCTTCAATATATAAGGCTCCAACAGCTCCAAAAATGTGTCTAACAACATTTATAAAGAACATTTGATTGGTAACATGCAATGATGGAGGAAAATGATATATGCATGTTGTTGTACTTTTATGCGCAAATAGAAGCAAATTCTAACAAAATACCAAATATCAACGTCGTACACGAAATTGAAGAAACAAACAATCTCAAAATAAGAACACAAGATATTAACGTGGTTCGGCGTAAAGCCTACATCCACAGGTGAAGCACAGCGAGGAATTTCACCAAACAAACGGAGATTACAAAAGAGTGTTCAACTCTCATAACCCAAATCCCACAAATTACAAACCCTAAACCAAATGAGTAGAGAACTTGAACAAACAGAGAAGATTCTCCCAAATTGGTCTGTAACCCTCAAACCCACAAATTGACTCTCACCAAATCACAAAACGAATGAGCCATGAAATTGTCACATGGTCATGACTCCAAAGGGTGACCTCCACCCATAACAAAAGAGAAAAACTCTCTAAACTAATGGTGACAGCACACAAAATAAACTAACCCTAAGGTCCTATTTATAATGCATAGGTCTTAGGTTACAATGAGAATCCTAATCCTAATTGGAAGTAAATCTAAAACCTAATCAAATAGGTAATTAGGAAAATTTCTCCACCAAGCAAGGAATCCAACCAAAAAAGTCAAATTAAAGCCCAAATAGGACACCAAAACAAAATAGGTAACACAAACCTAATTTCTGCATTATCCTAATTTTGTGCCGTAAATCACAACACATGTAGCTACAAGCTATTGAACAATGCACATACTTAGAGCAAAGGCTGCAAAACTGCAGCCGAGACAAGCTAAAAAAAGATACACCATACTTAGAACTTAATTGCCATGTTCTATCATATGTCAAAGTACTAATCCAGTCACTGTCACATCATGATGAAAGTTGGAAAGTATGGTTCTGAGTACTTTCAATATTTATTTTAAAATAAGAAATATTTCAATCCCATAATACAGGACATCAACTGTTCACTTAATCCCCTTTCAAAAGAAGAAAATATGTTATTCACTCCAGATTGAGCATGACACTTTACGGTAAGATAATATGAGATGGCAAGTGTATTTTGTCTCGTTGATGTGACACAGTTGGACATTACAAAAAGCCATTCTAACTCAACCGTGCATGGATGGTAAAATGGACTTTCCCTCTATATAAGCATATGAAAACCAAAGGATGTTTCCCTTTTTGTTTCATTTCAATAGAGTAAAATGTAATCCAGATATCCAAACTTCAGCTTAAAGTTGATGAAGTTTACAAAAAACCATAAATGCAAAAAAAAAACTGAAATGAGAATACCTCTCTGTTGAACAGCTACGAACTTGGAGAATATTTCATCAAAAAGTATGTCAGTCCTTTTGATATGGACACAGAATTCAACTGCAACTCCACCAACACGGGTGTATTGCTCTTTTATTTCAGAGTGCATAGAACTGCTTTTGCTGTTTACGTCATCAGCTTGATCCCTTTTTCCAATTTGGTTGCAGAACGCTACTGAGATATATGAAAATACTTCCTCTACATATGACAATAGCAACTCAACCAGGTAGGACATTATGGTCTCCTGTACAGCAACCAGAGTTCTAGGAAGGTCAACAACACCATGAGCTTGACCATCATAAATTGTCATTGCCATGTTCAAGGCACCCATCCAATCACCTGCTCCCCGTAAAACCTGAATTCGTTCTTTCCATGGGAGAAGTCGGGAAACAATAAGATGCATCGGTCCGAGTACATATACTGAAGCTCCTCTTACAGCTACACAATTGTGATAAGCTTTTTCAGGATTTCCAAATATATTAATGAAGTGAGTATGATAAGCAATGAGATCATCGCCTCCAAAACCATCAACAGAAAAACTTGTTTGGTGAATCACAGTTCCATCCTTCGCAAACAAACAAAGTTGTCCGGTCACCGTGAGAACCACCAGCATCTGAAGCCACAAAACTTCAAATTAAGCTCATTCTTAAGTGATGTAAACTTGAACCATGTACAGAACTCTTCATAGGCAGAATAACATAAATTTCTTTGGTTAAAAGAATAAACATAAATTCAGCACGACAGAAAACAAATAAACAGGTGCATACCTGATCATCTAGCCAAGCCACACCTATGGCTGCACTTTCAAGAGACCATTTCCCATATACTTTCAGCTCTGATTTGACCAACTTTGCCACCAGAACTTTTCGATCCCAAGCAAGTGCAAGTAACGAAACTCTTTCAACTGCTTCAGCAGGCATATTTTCTACCAAAAATGAAGAACCTCATCTTAGGAAACCATCAACAGGAAACTTAACAAAGAAAGTCAATCCTTACCGCTACTAGCAGGTGAACTGTGTGATTGTATTGTACATTTCCAAGCAGTACAAGGCATAGAACCCTCCCGAACCCCATCTGGTTTGGAAAGTCGTGCATACACTTCCAAAGTGGGAGTTAGTCTTACCTACAACAAAGACGCATGGCATTTAGCACACTGAAAAAAAAAATAAACTTTTTATAAATAGGTAATCATCAAATCCCAAACCAAAAGGTACATGGAATTCACGCTATCATCTGAGGGCTTCATACCACCAGAACAGTGTGATGGGTGACAAACACGACCACACCTTCTTCGACCAAAGAAGATCCCTCATTGAAGAGTTTCCAACCTGCATCTCCACCAACCACACCCCCCATCATACCACCAATACTGCTGCCTGAAACCGCCCCACTTCCCTGAGAAGACAGTGAAGCCCCTCCACAGAATTCATCAAACAGGAGTGGTGAAGCTGACAGCACTGTGCCTGTATTTTGTCCATCAAGAAGGCACTGTTCCAATCAACATGCACAAGATCATCAAGTTTGATAGAATTACATTGTAAAAGATCACAGATTCACACATCAACCGCAAAGCAAGCATTTTTAAACATAATGCCAACAATGAAATTTTTTTACCTGTGTTTTAATCGAGAACCTATTAAGAAGGGGAACCACTGAGGAAGAATGTAATAATACCAGACCCTTACTATCACCGGTAACTGCCTTAAATTGACGTGTAACCTGAGAATCCTGCCCCAAAAACAACGTATGTACAACTGGAGCTGTATGTTCTCCGGTAATTATTTTGGCAGCCGATGCCCTCTGCACGTCCCAAACTGTAATGTGACCATCAGCATAACCAGCTAAGAGCAAGTCCCCTTGCTGATTGAAGCACATAGAAGTTACAGCAGCATAAGACCGTTCTCCTTGCAACCCAAGAATTAGCATCTGGTACGTATATAGCATAGTTTGTTAACATGAATTCCCTATATCTATATCATTGGAAGTTAAAAGTAAGTAAAGGAATGAAAGCTAACCTTTGCATCCATGCTGTCAGCAGTATGAGCAGAGTACTTGCTAGGAATAACAAGAATAGACCCTCTTCCCATTCCTATTGCAATGTAATTATTGTGAACCGCCAAGACTTGCGGTGAGCCATGATCACGCCTTAACGCCGGAGATGAAAGGGTCCGAGTAATGGGATTGTTAGCATCAACATTGAAGTATCCTAATGTGGTGGAGCCTCTCCGAACACCCTCAGCCTCATGGGTTGAGCAGCGGCACCCTCTTCCCAATGCAAAGCATTAGAAGCTTGCTTCTTCTCTAGCTCTTCAGCGATTTCAAGTGGCTTGCGCAACTTCTTTTCAGATTTTTTACTAATCCTCCTGCTCTCTAATTCCCCAATTCTCTCCTCCACGAGTTGAGTGATTGAACTTCCCAATTCATCGTCATCACCAATATCGCTATCGTTACCAATATCGCCTTTGTTATCCTCGGACTCCTTACCACCACCATCATCACCATCATCCTTGCCACCACCGCCACCATCATTATCCTCGCTATCACTCTCTTTCGAACAAGGACTGTTATCATCTAAGTCTTGAATATCTTGTTTATATTCCTCTACGACCTCAACATTCTTACTAAATTCCGTATCTTTAACATCATTTGCGTCTAAATTTGTCAAATTCTCATCAAAACTACTTACATTCTTCTCTTCTTCCACAGCATTACCAGCACTCGCCTCATCAACTTGAGATCGATCAACTCGAAAAGTCTGCTCTAACTTGCTTTCGCTCTCCAAAACCCCGCCTTCTCTCAACAATTCACCCCCAAAATCCACTTGTAATTCATTTGAATTTGTCCTAAGCACTGCCGAACGAATTGCAGTCGTATCACCAGTAGAATTGGAACTCACCTCGGATTTTTCATCCAGTTCTGAACCTTCAAGAACCTTCTGGATAACTCCGCTCACGGCGCTCCTCCTCGACTTGATTGCCGCGGCGTGCGGCGTTGGCATCGACCTTGAGGCCGCCGCAGCCGCAGCCAGGGCCGCCCCGGGCTTCGCATTCGTTCTCATGCCTCCGAGCAACCATGGAGACGGCTTCGGAACCCTCCCGGCCGGATCCTCCGACAAATCCCCGGACTTGACCCGACTGTACAGATTGGACCTCGGCCGGACCACCCTTTCATCCTCGGACTTAACGACGGGGACCGATACGGCGTCGTTGGGAGGTTCCGGTGGTTTGGGATCGGAATTGAGGCGGTAGATAGTGGAGGAGGGCGGGGACGATGAGGCGGACGAATCGGTGTCGTTGAGAATTTCGTCAATCGTGCGGTGGGGGACGGAGCTAAGGTCGTCGTCGTCGTCTTCGTCGGAGAGGGAGAGGTGCGAATTGAGGAACGAGTCAAGGTCGAGTTCCATGGCGAGTTGCGGTTCGAAGCGAGTGAGCTTCTTGGTCATGCTGGTGCAGCCCAAGACGCCGCTGCTGCTGCTACTGCGACGTCGTATTGGTCATCTTCTTCTTTGTCATGACTGGTAAGTCTCTGGGAGTTTGTTTCCTTCCCACGTCATGTCGTTTGTTCTAATGAAATTGGGAAGTGAGTAAAACGGTCTGTCGTCTGATTGCGAAAAGGCGCGGCAGCTGCCTTGCGGTTGCCGGCACGCGTCACTTCGGTAGCGATGCGCAGTTATTGTCTTGGGTTGGCTTAAAGCCAGCTAGAATTGACAATAACTACAGGAGTTGCTTTGGGACCTGTGGTCGTTTTTTTTTTTTTTTTTTTTTTTTTTTAATGTTTTGGCAGGATTACAAAATGTGAAAATTCTAAAATATCACCATGTTACCAGTGTTACGTATGATGAATGAATAAGATTTAAATTTTAAATTATTTTTGTCTACTTTGTAATATTTTGATGTACTTAGGCTCCATCTTAAGGTTTAAAATCTACAATTCCTCTTTTATTTTCCTCCGATCAATTCCAATCCAAGTTTTAATTTGGACCTAAAACCTGAAATCTAAACAAAAAAACAAATTTAGGCCAAAATTAGGCTTCCTCCAACCTTGAGCTAAAACCTAAATTTCCCCCCCCCCAAAAAAAAACTCAACCCAACTCAACCCAAGTGCTAAACAAAACCTAAAACTCAACAGATGACCATATACCTACCCGTTTTTAGGCCAGAAATCATTGTGGGCCCCAGCTGGTGTTAGTGAACCACGGGCTGTGAAGCCCAGACGCCAAACCAACTCGCCCAGTGGGACCCACCCACGTGGGCATGTCCCCCGGCTGTCAGGCCATGTCGGTAGCCCAACGGCTACTTTTTCAATCCAACGGCTGGTTTTAAATGAGTCGTTGGTTAATCCAATGGTCCACGTTCAAATATTTTTTTTTGTTTTATATTTATATATTAATTGAATCCAACGATTTAGATCAAATATAATCAAATCTAATGGTAAAAAAAGATCTAACGTCCCAAATTTAAATCCAAAGGCTAAAATAATTAAAAAAATTATTTAACTCAAAATTCATCAAAAAACTCTATAAATACCTATGTATTTGTTCAAATGTCCACACAATACTCACTTTTCTCCTACAATTCTTCCAATTTTTCTTTCTACATTTCTTCTCATTTCCAAAATTTTGAAGATGGCAAAAGAGCATGTTAAAGGTCATAATTGGACCTTTGAGGAAGATATTGCCTTATGTTTGGCATGGATTTCCATTAGCGAAGATGGTGTCGTCGGCATGAATCAAAATAAAAAGGTTTTGTGGGGTAAAATCACTGATAAGTTCCATGAAAACTCCAACGTCGGCCGAAGGGAAGGTGGTGGTGTTTATGATCGGTGGAAGGTTATCAACAAAGCATGCACTTTGTGGAAGGAAAGCTTGGAGAGAGCCACAGTTGACATTCCTAATGGAAGGAGCTTCTCATAAATTGTGACTTTTTTTGTTGATATTTTATTTGTCATGCACATAATAGTATTTTTCAACTAATTGTTTTTACGTATTTGATGCATAGGGTGACAACACAATGACAATTTACAAGACAAGAACTACACCAAAAAATCAATCTTTTAAGTTGCATCATGCTTGGAACGTGGGGAATCGATGCGGACCAACAATGGGGAAGATTATTTCATAGTGAAGCCCCGTCCTAAATGATGTCAATGAAGGTGTGAATGAAGGTGTCAATGAAGGTGTCGAACAAATGACCCCAACTTCTTCTTTACAAGGCCCCCGGGAAGAGATAAGCAAAAGGAAGCAAAGAGAAAAAGGAAGTCCCAAGATACCATTAGTGAACAAATTGCTACCGAATTTGCAAGATTGACCAAAAGTCGTAGCTCTCGGGAGGACGAAGCAGTCCGAATACGTGTGGCTATGATGCAGCTAGGGGATAGGGAGCAAGAGAGGTTCATAAATATGATGGTGGAGGACCTCAACAAATACACTTCAGAGAGGAAGAAGTGGTCATGTGGTAAGGAAAGGGAAATTTTGCAGGGGGATGCCAGAAGGAGTATATTTCAAGATGATAATTTATCTCGAGGTTATATCCCAAATCCACCACCAAGTCCATCACCAAATCAAGATGGTGGATATCATTATTAAGTTTATGTAGTTTATGAATTTTGGATTGTATTAAGTTTATGTAGTTTATTAATTATCGTTTTTTTTTACTTTATGTGGTTTATTAATTGTCCTTTGTATTAAGTTTATGTGGTTTATTAAATGTCATTTGTATTAAGTTTATGACTTATTAATTATTGTTTCATTAGTCTAGATGCCTTCAATAATTATTGTACTTATTGTCAGTTGAGTCTGTAAAGCACCCATTAATTATTGTGCTATAGATGCCTTCAATAATTTTGACAATGTACTAATGAAAAGACTTGTCACAAGAAGACAATTCAATTTATTACTAGAAAATACCAACATAGTACATGCAAAATTATTACATAACATAACACATTATTACACTTAAGATTATCCATCATCTACGTTCTCCTTTTCGGCGCCATATATGCTCAACCAAATCCTTACGGAGTGTGTCATGACCTTGAGGAGCTTGAATTCTATTTAAACGTCTCATATGCTCATTGAGTGTGACCCTATCATGTCGGGTCTTGTATGTGGTTATAGCGAGATATTCAACATCTCTTGTCAAAACTCTTGCATATGTTGGTTGGTCATTATCCACCTCTTCGTCAGAATCTTCCTCAATTTTGACATATTCATCTTCCACAATCATGTTGTGCAAAATTATGCACGTTATCATGATTGAATGGAGGTATTCGATATGCCAAAGTCGTGCAGGCCTTCTAACAATGGCCCATCGAGCTTGTAAGATCTTGAACGCTTTCTCCACACCCTTCATGTAAGATTCTTGTCTCTGCGAAAATAATTTCTTCTTTGCATTATTGGGATGAGAATAATTTTGACAACATCATCGAACAGAGGAGAAGACCAAAGAACGTTGATATCGTTGTTTGATCTAGGTGCACCGAATAATGCATGACAGATCCATGTGTCGTAAGACGCCACATCCTCTAGCACGATGGTTGGCTTATTGTGATAGCCCTTGAATTGGCCAGCTCAAGTAGTAGGACAATTCTTCCACTCCCAATGCATACAATCGAGACTTCCTATCATGCCAGGGAAGCCTCTTTTGTCTGCCTTGCATAGAAGCCGCTTCAAGTCTTCACGATTTGGCTTGCAGAGGTATGTGGCTCCATAGATGGCTTCAATTGCCTTACAAAAACGCTTCAGGTTCTCAATAGAAATACTCTCCACAAGTCGGCAATACTCGTTAGTTGAGTTTGCAGAGCACCCATTAGCTAGCATCCGAAATGCAAATATGAGCTTCTGATGAGGTGATAGGCTTTGTTGGCCTACGAAATCTATCTTCCTTGCAAAGTAGTGGTCATGATAGACAACTGTGTTCAAGATGCTTTCAAAAAGCTCTCTCCTCATCCGAAACCGCCTCCGAAAATCATGAGAATAATATCTCGAACTTTCAATGAAATAATCTTTCATCATTCAATCATGACATTCTTCTCTATCACGTTGCACAAATGAACGCTCCATGACAGAACCATGATGGCTAGATTTGGCATGGTGCTGATATTAAATAAGCGAGTTTGTAAATTCGGCTTCTTTTGCGTTCATTTCTGCATCGGCAGTTGCACGGCTTGCTTGGTATTATGCCATCTGCATTGCCAAGCTATGCCTTCTTCTATCACCCATTAATGAGATATTGATGATTTTTAGGAAACAAAAAAACTTTGAAAGTTGGAAGATTAGTGAATATAGAGGATTATTGAAGGTTTGAATGTTGTGTGATGGTTTGATATTCAACCTGTGTTTGTATAGAGAATGATTGAAGGTTTCAGTTTCATGTGTTTAGGTTTGTGTTTCATGTGTTTTGTATGTATGTTGGTATGTTTTTCGCGTGTGTCATGTGTTTCACATGTGTTATGTATGTGCTTCATCTCTATCATGTGTTTTGTATGTCCTTCACATGTGTTTTGTACATGCTTCACATATGTTATGTTTGTCTTGTGTGTTTCATGTCTTTTGTGTTTATACATCTCTACCATGATTTTCATATTCTTCCATAGTGTTTCGTGAGTTTCATGTATCGATTTAGTGATTTTTCAATATTTATCAGAATTTAAATATTTTTAGATTAAAATGTTCATAAAATTAATTTACAATAGTCTACATATTTTTTTTTAAAGTTAATTTAAGCAAAAAATTAGCCCAAATTCATTATTTAATAATCTGGGGCTAAAATTTTAGGCCATAAGGGTTGGAGCAGAAAAGCTGTTTCTGGGTTAAAACCTAAATTTTCAGGGCTAAAAATTTTAGGTTTTAGGCCAAGAGTTGGAGATGGTCTTAGTGGTGGAGCTCCCACCCACATGGGTGTGTCTCTCAGTTGTTTGCCAGTAAAATTGAGCCCAACGGCTCTTTTGGTTGATCAACAGCTCACATTCAAATTTAGTTAATATTTTTGTTTTATATTTATAAATTTATTGAATCCAATGACTGAAATCGAATATGATCAAATCTAATGGTAAAAAAAAAATCTAACGGTCCAAATTTAAATTCAACGGTTAAATTAATTATAAACAATTATTTAAGTCAAAATTCACCCAAAAACTCTATAAATACCTATATATTTGTTGAAACATCCACACAAACTCACTTTTCTCCGACAATTCTTCCAATTTTTCTTTCTACCATCTTCCAAAACCATGTGTTTGCTCACGTGTCTTGTGTTTATACATCTCTATCATGTGTTTCATATTCTTCTATAGTGTTTCATGAGTTTCATGTGTCGGTTTAGTGATTTTTCAATGTTTATCGAAATTTAAATATTTTTAGGTTAAAATGTTTATAAAATTAATTTAGGATAGTCTACATAATTTTTTTTAAAAGTTAATTAAAAAAAAGCCTAAATTCATTCTTTAATAATCTGGGGCTAAAATTTTAAGCTAGAAGGATTGTAGCAGAAAAACTGTTTCTGGGTTAAAACCTAAATTTTCTAGGCTAAAAATTTTAGGTTTTAGGCCAAGGGTTGAAGATTGTCTTAAAGTCATATATACAAGTGAATTTTAA